AGCCCCAATGTCCAGCCTGGCCTTGGGCACTGCCAGGGATCCAGGGGCAGCCACAGCTGCTCTGGGAATTCCATCCCAGCCCCTCCCCACCCTCCCAGGGAACAATTCCTTCCCAAAATCCCATCTAACCCCGATGGTTTGAAACCATTCCCCCTCTTCTGGGGCCTCCAAGCTCTTGTCTCTCCATCTTTCCTGACACACATCCTACAAGGAGTAAGTTACTCTGTGTAACCAATGCTTACCTTTGCCCAGGGAAGGAGTGCAAGTAAGGGCTGGGTTATTCTAGGATTCAAGTTCTGATCTCCAATATCCAAATTCTTGTGCTCCCCTGGACCCTGCAAGAAATAAAGTCCTTTATTTTGCTCTAAATTATTGACTTTATCCCACAAATAACTCTCTCTGCTGGCTGGGAGGCCGTGCTCTGTCAAACCCATTTGTTTTCCAGTGTTTAATGGAGGCATTTCAAAAGCTGCTCCTTCCTCATCAATGGCAGTGACAAAACAATATTATTTTTCCCAAATATTGAAACCTCAATATTACATCCCACTAATCTCCCAGCCACAAAGGTATTTCAGAAGTAAAGCAGGGTGTTTTTTATGGGTCAGATGTTGTTGTCCTACTGCACTGGAGCTTGTATCCTCCTGATACCACACATGTTTGTTCTCTACTTAATTTTTAATGTATGAATTTGTTTTTATATTAAAATTCAATAAAATTTTAATTATAAAACATAATATATCACACTGAAGTATATATATCTGCGGAGAGGCACATCTGCGGTTTTACAACAGATGTGAGGAACTCTGCAAATGTTTAAGATGCAGATTTTACCACTAAAATGAGCTCAAACCCTGCTTGCCTGCAGATGAAAAACTCAGGTAGGCCCAGGCTGAGGGCACCTAAATGGGTCCCTGATCTCAGTGAAAGCAGAAAGTTGATGAGGAATTACTGAACATCACCAGGGAGCAGGAGAAAAATCAGAATTAAAGTCACAAGAAGCCGAAAGAAAGGGAGAACCTCTAAGGTGCAGAAACAGTTTATCCATAAATATGTTTTTATAGTTCTGAATCCCTTTTAATTTATACCTTTTCTGAACTGTAAATCTCCCTAACATTCCCTGGAAGAAGAATCCTGTTTCTCAACTCATGTAAGGTCTGCACAGCACCTTTTGTGCAATTTACTTATTGCCAGTTACCATTCAGGACTCTCAATATGAAGAAATTCTCTATTTCCTTTTAATTTTTAAATCAGAATTTATTCTGCTGCACTTGCCATGTCTGTTGTACTTTAGAAGTTATTCCCATGAACCTTTCCACAAGAGTAAAGTCAAACTAAAAATTCAGGAGAAACCTTGGATCAGAAGAAGGACATTCAAATAATAACAAATGATGAAAACTAAAGGCTGGGTTTGGTGCTTATTCAAAGTAGTCCAAAGTGAAATTCTCATGTAGATATAAAACAAAAGGGAAAAAATAAAAGGGGTGGGAAGAGAAATAGATCCTATGAAGAAAAATAATGCAGAATCTATTAGAGGAAAATTGTATTAGGAAGGGTTTTTTTCATTTTAAACACCAACTTTCCAGTTTTGGTGCAATTTTGGGGTGGCTCCTCTCACCCAGCCTCAAGGTCCACAAAAAGCCATCACGGATTTGGGGCTTGGCCAGCACAGAGAGGCCACTGGAAGTTCCTCTTCAGCTCCTTTATCTCTCTTTTCTCACCAAAACTCTCTGTATCTCAGCTTACACTTGCACACGAGAATGTGGAATATTGAAATCCAAATCTGAATAATAAATAAAACCAAATCTCCGTGAATTATCCAGAGGAGCTGAGCTGCACACTGTAACTTGCTTTGCACAACCTTGAGCACACACAAACCCCTAAACTGGCATCCTAGACGTTGTTGCACTAAACATCACCAGCATTTTCTTTAAAGACATGGAAAATTCAGTGCCTGAAATGCAGCAGATTTTCCTATTCACTGCCCACATCATGAGGCTGACCCACATAATTTTAAGCAAGGAGCTGAAATCTCAGCCAAACTCCACAGAGATTCCACGTGATATTGTTTTAACTGTTTGCTGAACTCTTTCTAGAATTATTTGTCCTGAATTTTGGTGACATGAAGTGAATAAATAATCACGTCTCACCTGGGAGTAGGAAATCTGAACAATGAGTTTAAAGCAGCAAAACCATTTTTGGGGAGGGGAGAAAGGAGAAATCTGAGTCGAAGAGCAAGGTCTGCAGGTTGTCTACATGCTTAAAATATTAATCAGTTGGCAACATTTCTCCTCTGGAACAGAAAAAAAAAAGCAGAAAAAAAGAAAAGACATTTCATAGAGCCAATAACACTCACAACCTGAGAAAGCGTAAGATGATCCTTTCCTTAGAAAAATCCATCAGCAGCTAAACTCCTAAAGCAGGGGGAGTTTTCAGGATTGTTTGAAAAAAAAAAATAAACAACAAATGAAAAAGCTGCTGGTTCTCCTAAAAGTAAGGAAGGGCTGATTCTAATGATTGCTTTCTGTCATAATTGCAGCGAGCTGTCATCAACAAGGAATTGCAGCTCAGAACTCCTGGGAAGTACAGCAAGAGAGGCAAATCTGTGTCAAACTTCTGCAGATGGTGCAGATTTACGCTCTCTATTAGGCTCCAGTGGAACATGCTGTCTCTCACCTTTTGTTTTTTTAATTAAAATTTTTAGAAAAAGAAGAAAAAGGGGAAAAGAAGTGCCATTATTAGTAATCTCCTTGGCATTGTTCACTCTGCGATTTGCTTTTTAAAATGATGACTCTGCCTGAAGTTTTTAACACCATAAATAAACTGAAACCTTTCTGCTTCCAGAATGTCACTGCTGTTTGTGAGCAGCTTTCCCTTTCTTCTTTCCTTTTGCTTCTTGCAGAGAAAGCTTAAACTCCATCTCCTTGGACTTTCAAAGGTGCCACTCAGATCTATTTTTAAGCATCTATTTTCAGATGCAGAAATCAACTTCTTATTCATTTCCTTTTTTTTGTTTAATATTATGGGGAAATCTTCAGCACTCGGTGCAGTGCTGCAGACACTGGAAATTCTGGATGTGGGATGAGACCAAAGCCCAAAGTTCAGTTTTAACTGGAAGAGGGTAAATTTGGATGGGATTTGGGGCAGGAATTGTTCCCAGGAGGGTGGGGAGGAGCTGGGATGGAATTCCCAGATTTGCTGTGGCTGCCCCTGGATCCCTGGCAGTGCCCAAGGCCAGGCTGGACACTGGGGCTGGGAGCACCTGGGACAGTGGGAGGTGGAATGGGATGAGCTTTAAATTCCCTTCCCACCCAAACCAGCCTGGGGTGCTGTGATAACAAATTGGGGTTTGCCACAAGCCTTTGGCCCTTGGCAATCTCTGGGTCACAGGAGTCGCTGTTTCCCAAACCATCATTTTCCTTTTTTTCCTTCTAAGACTGAAAACTGGACCCTCAAACCCCTTTGTAATTCAGTCTAGCAGCCATGCAAATACAAATATTTCCATAATCCAAGTATGAATTAAAAGTCAAATTACTTTATGGATTTATTTATATTTGCACACGAGGGACTTCATCAAAACAGACCTCAAGAGCTGAAAAACATTTTTTTTTTTTAAGCACAGCTTTTCTCTTTCAGTGTTAGGTTAACAGGTTCAGCTCTGTGATATTGTAGAGCCAAGAGGGGAAAAGGAACTGTGCTCTGTGAATTTAATAAATTCTCTACTTGCGGTACAAGGCATCTAAATGGCTGTGAAGGAAGCATGAACATGTTACAAGAGTGTTTTAGCAGAATTGCTCTTCTTGGAGCGGTTTGGACAAGGCTGGAGGTGGGATTTGCATGTGGCTGTGCCATTCCAGCTCTGGAAAACCCCACAGTGATGCTCCTAAACCAGCCTGGGCCCAGGGCCTGGACTTGCACACAGAATTATTTCAGTCATGGCTTTGTGGTGATTTGCTTCTTTTTGGTTTTTTTTTTTTATTTTTTTTCTTCATAGCTCTCCTTCCTAATTTGGGAAAATTTAGTCTTTTTTGCACTGATTAAAATTTGGGATTCTGGGAAAAAAAAACCAATGACCTTTTGATGCAGTCTACAAAGTACTCCCACTAAACAGGCAATAAGTGAATCTAATAGACACCCCAACCCACGCCAAGTCCCATAAAATCAGGGTGTGAAGCATAAGGGAGAGAGGGATTCATATTAATAATTCATTCCAAGCAACCCCCTGGAGCAGTTTTACTATGATATGCTATGCAGAATGCTTCAACACACTAATTAATATTTTCAAAGTGTTCCACGAGCCCCTTTTAAAAGCACTTTTGCCATTCACGGAGCATTCTGCATTTCAGGAGGGGAAAGCTCAGGCCTGGCCCCCAAACCCAGGGCTGGGCTGCAGGATTGGGGTGCAGAGGAAGAACCAGCACCCCTAAAAGCTGCTGCAGCCCCCATGTGAATGGCCTGGGCCTTTTGCTCCCCAAATCCAGAAAGAAGTGGGATTAATCCCCCAAAATGCAGGTGATCTCCAGAGAGATCCCATAATTGCACTGAGGAGTCCCTGCTGCACTCCCTGCCCAGATTGTTCCAGGGAAAAGCTCTGCCAATAACCTGAGACAACACCAAGTTCTTCTTCTTAGGCACAGATCTATTGTTTTTTACCATATTTACAAACCAACCCAATTTCCTGCTTCAGTTAGCAAGGAAACACAGCGAGGATGTGCTCAGCAATGAAAAAAAAAGGAGTTTTTTAGAGCTAATGAACTTAACCCAGTGTTGGAATCTCAGTACAGAACTCCATCTCCAGCAATAAATCTC